AGGAAGCCGTTTCGTGGTTGGAGTACTTGTTGACAATGCATGGGTGCGCCCTTGCACGTTTGCAGCTGCTGTTTGACCAGGGTGTCAGGCCTTCATGCCGAAGGCTCTGCCGGGCCATAGCCCAAATATGAAAGCAGGCCGTTCGGCTTGGCACCAACGCATCCAAAACGGAGCTGAGTTGCATTGAGCACGTCGCCTGGGATGTTCCTGCAGTTGAGATCAGTCTATAATTACTTTCTTCATGTTTAATGTGTGTTCCTTGTACACCCGGAACATATTAGCTGGTTGAGAGGGTCTAAGTTTTCCGATGATCCCTGTGTAAGCCCTACAAAAATACCGACACACCCGTATATGCGTAGGGCAAGGGTTGCCGCGCCTGTGACGTGCTGAGTGCCAGAAGCTCGGAAGAGAATGGCGGACGAAAAGCTGACGTTGACTCGGTGGCATTTCAGGGCTCGGTGTTTCGCCATTTTTGGGTGATTACATTTCGGCGCCCATATGGCTGTGGGTCAAAACCAATGGTACCATTTTGGGGTAGCTGCACCACCCATTTTAGGCTTCCTATTTTAGTGGTTGGATTGGTTGAAGTTCACTGGGGGCTAACCGGGGTTACCCATGTTAGACAGGGAGTGTTAGAGGGGGGCAGATCTCCTTGGTGGCGCCCAGCCGTCCCTTTGGTTCCTTAGCTTTTTCTAAGCTTTTGGTTGCTTTAGTGGTTGGGTTTCCGTACTTAGCCCACTAAAAGGCAGGCACTTTTCGTAGGGGATCTGAGAACAGCCCAGTTAACACAGACGTTTCTGAGGCACCCGACAACCTTTGTGGGAAGAGTCACCGCTACCAGGTAGTCCACCCGGGTGTAGAAGCCCGCACAGCATCCAGACCAAGGAAGCGTTGCGCTAGGGAGCATTTGGGAGCTGGGCAAATCGTTTGTGCACATGCTGGCATGGGGGATTTCTGCAAAAGCCACCAGTGGCTAGGTTCTTTGTTCCATCATTCACAGGGCATCTTCTCTCTCAGCTGCAGGATTGTCCGTTCCGTACTTGCAATACATAGGTTGGCAATTTGCAGGTGGTGTAACGACCAATGTACCTATTGCAAGGTGACCAAAATTCACAGAAGGTGGGTGGCACTCGTTGGGCGCCCTTGGAGTGAGCGTTTGCCAAAAGGCCGAATGAAGTTTCAAGAAGGGCAAGGCGGCCTTCTTGGTTGGGAGGAGAACAACTCGCTTGTTGGGCTTTGAAGGATCAACAGATAGTTATTCTTCACTGGTCTTGGCATGTTTTTGTTTGGTTCTGTTCATGTTTACTGGGGGGGGCCTGCAAACAACACAGTTGTTTGCTACCATACCAAGAGTAGAGATGCGTTTTATGTCCATGAAATGGATTCAAGGCGGCCTGGAGGCGTGCTTGAGGTGGGTGCTTGTGAACCCCCCACCCCCCGCCCCCCGCGCCCACCCCGCGCCCCCAGCCCCCCCGCCCCCCCGCCCCCACCAACCCACCCCGAAAAAAGAAAGAGAAACGCATGTTGCCAATTCCTTTTATGGGACTTTTGTGGAATGGATACATACGACCCTTCTCAATCGTGGTCGTTGACCCAACTCGTTGCAAGATCCCAGATGCGGCTCCAGCCTGAATGAGTCGAATTTCAGCCGGACAACCAAGGTTCGGGTGGTCAGTAAGTTTCAATGGGAAATCTGAGCAAATTCCCAGGTACTCACCCTCTGCAGCTACTCGCAAGGGCCATGCTGAGCACTGATGGGGCCTCACCCAGAAGCAAAGTTGTGATCCCGAAGAGATGTTAGGCATTCAAGGCTCCTTCTCAAAGGACCCTGCGCTTCCTACAGCAATGCACTATTCCTGAGCACCTTTGAGAAGGTTGGGGTGTTGTGGTATTTTAACATTGCCGCTGGGTTTTCCATTAATTTCCAACTAAGGAGCATCCAAAATGGCTCAATGTGAGAAGTGTTTCAGTGTTTCTCAGGGGATTGCCTGGCGCGGGCCCTCAATGTTGGGACCCCCTACTTTCAGCCTTGGTTCCGCGGCCACCTTGGCCTGGCCATGCGATGGCTCTTGACAGGCGCGAAGAGGACAGCCGTCCAGTGACAAACTGGGGGCCCCCAGTTCTCCAGTGGCTTTTTTCCGGTTCTCCGCGTATAACATCAATGGCATGCGATTCGAATGGAAGGCCAGAAGGCAAGTAAGAAAGCCAAAGAAAGCCAAAGAAAGCCAAGACGTGGTAATGAGATGTTTCGAGAACCTTACTGAGCCTCTGCGAAAAGCTTGCGTTCATGTGAGCAACCGTCAAAACTCGCGTCAATGGAGATATGTATTCGGTGGACATCGGTTTTCCAAAAGTGCAGATTCCTGTGGGAACGATGGGGACCTCCCAAAAACGATGCCCTTGTTTTGCATACATTAACTTTTGCAGAGTGAAGTTGCTTGCTTCGCTTGATCGTGGAGGTTCAAGCCGGAATGGAGACCCTCCAAACAACGGAAACCCATTACATCAGGACTTGGCAGCTTCTGGCTGAAGAGAAACCATTGTCGGTTGCCGCTGTTTGAAGCTCCGGGTGGCCATGCTTGAAGCAAAACCATTTTTCAAAGAAGATGGGCGCCAAAGCGATGCCCAAAGCGATGCCCAAACGATGCCCTCAGCGATGCCCAAAGGTCACCAAGTTGAACAGTTGCCCATTCAGTTGCCAGACATGGAAGAAGCTGTCCGCAAGTATCAAAAAAGATTACAGAGGGCGCAGAAAGCAGCAGCGGAGAAGAAGGCAGTGCTCCACAGAAAAAGGCAACGGCTACAAGGTTCTGAAACAAGCTCTGAAAGCAGTAGCTCCGACAGTTCGGCCTCCGATGCGTGAAAGTGCGTGTGCAGTGCTCGCTCCTTGCCGTCCTTACCGCAAATCAAAGAAAGTTGTTGCAGGCCTACTCTCATCCCTTGTTGCTACTCTTACGAATGTTGAGTGCTGTTGTAGGCTGCCTTTAACCAGCTCTGCGCCCTGTCTTCCAAACCCGTAATTGAGCATACGTAAGAGCGATGCCCTGGAACAACCAAACGTGGAAGCATGTGTGAAGCGATGGGGACCTCCCAAATTTGCGGTGTCCATTGCGACATACAAGGAGTTTAGACAGCCGCACATGTGGACATGTATTTGTGCGTGGACTTCACGTGACCGGATTGCAGGTAAACGATATGGGACCTTCGATACCCCGGTTCAGATTTTTCGAATGACTACGTACTGTGGACGAAGTCCTGCACCACTTTGAAGCCATGGGAATCATGGGAACTCATTGTTTGTTGGTATTTGCAGAGGAATCATCATTGCAAGGTTTCTCAGGTGGTGCAGGATTTAGTCTATCCACAGTAGGATATGACATCCGGCGTACCCGGCGTACCACAATTCTCACCGGGCGTGGGCTCGGGGCTCGCGAATAGGGAAACACGCTGGGTTTGTGTTATGTTTGGGATCCCGGGAACCCCGAAAACAGTTGGTTCTAGGCGCTGATTCCCCATTCTGTTCAACCACTGTTCTTTTCAAAAAACCAGCTGTTTCCCTGGGTTTTGATGGTTCCTGAAAAGAAGGATCCCTAGAAAGAATGGGAAGGTAGCCCTAGATTGGTTGCCGTTTTGCGTCCAAGAAAAACCACCAACAGAAGGTCCACAGTGACGGTCCACAACAAAAACGCAGCCAGAACCGGGCAACTCGTCGCGCGCAGGCGCCCCGCTCAGGGCAGCGAGCCCAGATTGGTCGGTCCCAGCAAGCGGATCCGAGATGCAGGTGAGTTTGTCCAGCTGATGTCCGTGTAAAACATGAAGCACAAAAGGAATATATTTATATTATATAGTAAATATATATATATATTATCCTATACATATATATATAATATATATATATATATATACACATATACATATTAATGTACAACGTAAATATATTTATTTATTGTTTTAATTTCGATTCAATGAGTGCAGGTTGAAGACATATGTGTACAATTGATGTATAGTGCACAAGCTCAACACTGGTTTGTTGTAGACCCGAGTTAAATGAAACATGGGGGTGGTTTGCTGACCGCTTGTGGGATTAGCGTTGCAAACCGCCTTGAGAGTGCAAGGCCTTTCCTTTGCCATTCTAGCAAGGGCCTCCACAAGAGGAACCCGCCTGAAAGTCCCGGGCCCCTTTGGGGGGATGTTGTTTGCAAGAACACCAACAAAACGTTGGCATTTTTTTGGGGGGGATTTCCAATCCTTTTGGTTGCACCTACAAGCGCCCATATTACAGCACACACAACAACGCGTGCTTTGTTCAAATCGCAGCTGACTAGAAATGGGTGCAACTGATGCCTGGCTGAATTAAAGCTGACCGCAGAGGGTGTCAGTCGCCAGGTCTTTTCTGCGTCAATCTCGAGATTCCGGATTCCTTTGCAGGCGTTTTTTCTGGCCAAATGCTCAACAGTCCTTGGCAGCTGAAGTAGACTGTCGGATTGGCCCTGAGAATCCGGAGACCCCCTGATTAGTCGGCCTTGCTTCGGCACTGGAGCAAAGCATGAGCGCATGTTCGTTCTGCTTTTCTGTTACAATCCTATTGACCAGACAGGCACATAGAAATGAGAACGAATCCAG